TGTTGAAGTCTTTGGAGGTGTCAATCATAAATATTCTGTGGATGGGTGACCTTTTTGATATATGCAGCAATGTCCTTCTCAATGTTGTACTTCTCCATGGCCTGTGTGGCACAATCCACTGCATCCTGCTGCATGTCCTCAGACATATCAGCATTCTTTATTACTGCCTTCCTGTCAGTCATGATGGCTGTGAATATGAAGAGAAAAGGCAAAGGGGATTCACTGACCGTCTGGTATACAGTCATAAGAACAATGAAGAACCTTGATCATGAAGCTGAATTAGCTACTTAAAGCTTTCTTGTTTAACAGTGCCACTATCACCACACAGAAAAAGTTATGACTGGAAAAGGTATTTAAACATCAGAAAACGGACACCTTCACCTTAAAGGATTGCATTTCTCATTTTAAAATCATAAAAAGATAAATTTTTTTAAGTTGACAATGGCAAAAATAAAATCTCAATAAAAACGTAATTACATTCGAAAAGTTTGAAATATTCGCACACAGCCATCACTTACAAAAAAAAATAAAAAATGGGGCCTGGCTCACTATAATCGCTTGTCAGTTCTTTTAATGGCAAATTCGGATGTAAATGGTCTGCTCTGGGACCTGTCTGAGTTTATGGAGTCATCTACCTTTCCAATCAGCTTATTAAGGAACTAGTGCATCTACTAAAAAGGAAACGTGCAGTCATGATTTGACAAAAATGAGGCCACCTCAATCAGCTCCCTCTGCAAAAGACTCCCAGTGTTGGGCCCAGGAGAGGGAGAAGGTTGATGAAATCCATTCAGTGAGGAGGATGTATGAGAAAGTGCAGAAATCAGATCTTTATCCAGCTCGATTTACTGACATGAAACTAAACCAAGGCCAACCGCATATGCAACAGAGAGGTCATCTACATCAGACATTTCATATCATTTGCATTCAGTAAACTGACATTTAGAATTGGAGATTGACCGATATCGTTTGGTATGACTCATAACTATAGGTTATTCTGAAGCTGAAATGTGTGATTTTCTCCGATCCTCGCTTAGTATGCAGACAACACTAAAACCACTTGTAGTTTAATTTCCCTGAGCAGTTTATCTATCAAAACATGCCAGCACAGCAAAATTGGCTCAACCAATTGCATAAGTTTGGGGCGGGAAGATTTGCTTGACTGGCCAATAGCACACAGTTGAAAAAATTGGTCAAGTAACCGATTTAATTAGATTTCTGCTTTTTGGGAGAATTTTTTTTAAAATAAAATAAATAAATACATTTAATTATTAATTAATTAAATATGTACAATAACAATGATCACAGCAGTTATTTTGAAGCTGAAGTGTGTTTTTTTTTTGCTCCTGCCTTTGCTTAGTATGCAAATAAAACTAAAAGCCATTTGTGGGTTAAAGGGTTAGTTCACCCAAAAATGAAAATTAGCCCACAAATTACTCTCAAGTCATCCTAGGTGTATATGACTTTCTTCTTTCAGACGAATTCAGTCGGAGTTATATTAAAAATAGTCTTTGATCTTTCAAGCTGTTTAAAATGCCACTCAGCGGGTGTTGCATGCATCAGTCCAAAAGAAGTTAAATAAAAAGCGCCCATCCATAAAAAAAGTGTCTCCTGTAGCGAATCAATGCGTTTCTGTAAGAAGCGTTGCGCATGCGCCGGGGAGTCTCGTGAAAACCAATGTTTTGTTTGCAGGAGCAAAGGAAGCAACGTTTTCCTTACTTTAGCAAAGTAAAACCAGTCTCCTCTTGGCTTTTATCGAAATCCTCCGACATTCTTCTTTACAAATCCTCATTTTGTACTTCTAATTAGTGACCTTTGTTTTGTTTTGATCTCTCTGCTGCGTTTCCGTGTGCGTCACTTCTGAGCAGCACATGCACAACGCTGAACTCATACGTCATCCGCCCGGAGCTGCTTCCGTGTACAACTGTTGGCACAAGCTACATTAAAGTGATTATTACGTCTTGAATATGGATATTTTTCTTACAAAAACGCATCGATTAGCTACAGGAGGTCTTTGTTCACCGCCCGGAGCCGTGTGAGACACTTTTTTTTTTATGGATGGGCGCATTTTATTTAACTTCTTTTGGACTGATGCATGCAACACCCACTGAGTGGCATTAAACAGCTTGAAAGATCAAAGACAATTTTTAATATAACTCCGACTGGATTTGTCTGAAAGAAGAAAGTCATATAGTAATTTGTGGGCTAATTTTCATTTTTGGGTGAACTAACCCTTTAATTTCCCTGAAAACTTTAAATAATGTGGCACTATAAAAACATCCCAACAAAATTGGCTCGACCATTCACATACGTTTAGGGCGGGACTATTTGCTTGACTAGCCAATGGCACATGGAGGTGTGTTAGAAAAATTTGTCCCTTTAAATGTCAATAAATTATATAAATACATTTTTTTAAAAATATAATTTAATTTAATTATTAATGATAAAAAAACGATTGATATATTAAAATTTGTATAATAATCATTATTTCTACCATAATTGACAAGCTAATAATTTTGACAACTACAAATGTTTTTAAACAAAAATTTGCTATAAGATTTTGCAGCTTAGCAGATCTGATAACTGAAGTAGAAAAGTGTGAATATCTGCCGAATAATACTGGCCGAACCGATTATCGGACTATTTAAATGATAATGTACAAGAGCAGAATGTCCTAGGCATTTGCATAAGTAACAACATGCAAGAGTGAAAAATTAAATTTCATTGGGCAGAAAGAAAGTGAGAGTAAATTATGCTGCAAAGCACAATTAATAATTCACACAGCACAGGTGTCTGCCTTTGATAAGGTCACGGAGAGGGAATCACACAAAGCTGATATAACTGTTTGTTGCAAGCTGTGGTTATTTTTACAAGACAAATTTAAGTAACTTTCACCCAAGTGCTGCCATGTCAACAAAATACAGCCTTTGGCTGGACTCTGGTGTCTACAGATGAGTCCATTAAAGCCATACGGTGCTGATGTCTTCAGCATCTGCTCTCAACGCTCTCTCGTGATTGGCAGAATTACGTAACATTTTTTCTCCATTCGCCGAACAGTTCTAACTTTCATTTCACGCCACCGCCCTAATTATTCTCTACAAAAACAATTTTACGCAGCATATTTCTTCTCAAAAACGTCTCGAATCCAACAATAACAATTATTTAAAGGCGAATGCCTAATAGAATTGCTGCAAAGTAACGTACAGGCAGCGGTGAGTGCTGCGTCCATGATGCTTTATTTGAATACAGCACTAATTATTAAACTTCCCAAATGCATAAATGTTTAAAATGCATTATTTTTTTCTCACGAGCTACATGGTCAACACTTCGGATGCATGCATAGTAAACAAATGCACTCACCCTCTTTTGATGCTTTTACTCTGGAATACTGTTTAACGCAGGCTTTTTTGAGCCGCCGTGTTCACGCTTGACTTCTCTAACCACTATTTTTCAGTCGTAACTCTACCCATGCGGCTGCGCTCGTAACTCATATCCAACTTCGCGTCACGAAACCCGTGGAGACCCGCCCACCGCACTGCACCGGCTCTCTGATTGGCTCACGTTGATCCTCTCCCCGCGTGTTACGAGCGTTTTCCACTAGCTTCTCACTGCCCGCATTTTATTTCATCCCACAATGCACCAGGGCCCGTCTGGTCTCAGAATACCACATCCTCAGGCCAAAGGTATTGATTCCTGTGAGGTATTATCCAATTTGTTTACCACACTATACGAGAGGTCAAGTTTATATGTAACTTACTGGTTACTAAACATTATGTTCACTGCCTTAAATAGTGTTCACATTTGGAATCAACCAAGCTTAATTTCATAACGTCTTCTCATAAATTCATATTTCAACATACTAATCTACAGCTATATGTAAAAACAATGTGTTGCTTTGTGTGCGCCAAAATACTTGTTTAATTTACTATGCAATTACCTCAAAATCTTCCATAGACACATATTTGAATGTTTACTGTATCAGTCACAGTGCAAGTTCATTTAAAAAAAAAATGAAGTAAAGAAAACAAAACACTTTAATTGAACATTTGATCTTTATTTAAAGAAGGGAGAGAGAGAAAACACACTACAATCTAGAAATATAAAGTAGCCAATTGTGGGGGGAAAGAAACACCACTGCCAACACAGCAAATGCCAACAAATGTTATTTGAAAAGTGATTTTTGAAACCCTAAATAAACTACAACATCCCCCTGAAAATGTGCCTATGATCCCACCCTCCCACGAATTCGCCCCTATTTACCACGCTCCTCATGCCGATTCCATCCAGCCTTCTGGTTCCTTGCTCTGCTTCTTTTTATACCAAAAAACAAATCTCGCAAAAATAAAAGAGGCACCTGGATCCCTTCTGCGCGCATCAATGGGGCTCCACGGAAAAAGAAAAAATGAATTTGGTTCTAGAGAAGCCAATTACGTTGTGGTTTGGTGGGGGGATGCGGGGCTGGGGTTGGGATCCTCTCCTATGGTTCCCGTTCCCGGTAAATTGATCCCGCTCCATGTATGTATCCATCCTTATCCTAATCCTAATCCTGCTCCTGATCCTGAACTGATCCAATGATCCGGCTCCAAGGATCGGGACACAGTGAGCCCCTCCTCCAATCCAAACCTTTGAATACCAGCAAAATCAAAGAGAGGGAGGTAACAAGTTAGAATCACAGCTAAATGAAGAGCTTCTATTATTGAAAGCTTCTATAAATTGATCATAGGAGCGGTATTTTTTTTCTGTGTAAATGACAAAAAGGATACCAGACTATGATATGCTCTCGAAGAGGTTTAGAGCACCACCTAAACACATTAAATTGTGCTTATTCATTGGAAAAACAAGCAAATCTAACCTAGAAAAAAAAAGACACTTCCTCTTGACAAATACACAATTTACATGAGAACAACTGCACATGGCAAGCCTTTATCTTGTCTAATGATATATCTACATGAGAGTTCAATAGTGGCCTAATCCCAGCACATTTTGGACAACAGGCAAAAATGTTTTTGTATTTAAAAACGAAACACCCAAAAAATAAAAAAACAATGCTGTCTTAATGTACGTACAAGCATCGCAACATCCAGACAGTACACATGCATGCTTAGCAGCAATGACCAGTGAGAAAAGGTAAATTAAACGGGGAAGGGGAGTGTTGTGAAGGGAGGAAGAATGGCAAAGCAAAACTAATGTGTTACTGAACTAAGAAAATCCAGAGTACTAGAAGTCTGTAGAAAAACAACTGCCTTTTTGAAGGTGACTAAAGCCACTTGCCGTCATACCATTGCCTCCTTAAATGAAATGCCTGCTCCTCCTCCTCCAAATATCCTAATATGAATGAACTGTGCTTCAAAATCCTTTATTCCAAAGCTTTCTTTAATCCTGCTCTTCTGTTGTCTATAGAAAGACATGAAAAGGTAAAAGTAGAACAGTTTTCCAACGAAAAAATAATCCCACCCCAAAAAAGCCAGTAATGAAGCATCATTAACAAAATAAAACAGTAGCAAATTAATTTGTCACACACACAACTATTTAAAGCATTTTAACATGTCCCTTGTCAAACATGTCAAATATAGTACAAGGGATGAGTATGAAGATCCAGTTAAAATGGGAATGCAAGACAAAGACACAACAGCGTCATGGGATAGGAGACAGAAAAAAAGGATTGACGGGAAAGAAAGGAGAGAAAGGAGAACATCTACTTAGCTACACATAGCTGTCATTAGCAGAATGACAGTCAAATAATAAAAACAACAATTAACAAACCAAAGATGAAAGAAAGCAAACTGGGGAAAGTGGAGAGACAAAAGTCAAAAGAGCAATGAAGTACAACAGTGGGTCCAATAGAGGACGACACAGGGTGTATATGATTGTGGCCAGCCAGCTAGCTGGGATGTGGATGTTTAGGTGCGGGAACGGGAGCGGCTGTGGCGGGGCGAGTAACGCGGCGATCCTCGACTGCGGCGTGGAGAGTAGCTGCGACTGCGGCTGTTGCTCCGGCTGCGACTCCTGCTGCGGCTGCGAGAGCGCGAGCGCCCGTAACTGGGGCTGCGTGGGCCATCCACCTTTACGCGAATGTAAGCCGTCTCTCCCTGAGGAACATAACGGGACACTTTCTAACAAAGAACTACCAGATCTCAGGTTACTCCTAATTCATGACTCACTTGGCGAATCTAAAACAGATAAATTATTTATTTATTTTTTTTAGATTTAGCACTACACCAAATTACACATCCTTCCAGATGTGGCCCACTGACAAAATCACTTACATTCAAAAGAGCCATTCCATGGATCCTCCTAGTCCATGTGGCTCCATCATGGGTCTCTGACATCAAGCTTACCTTGATATTCCCAAATCCTTAAGCTATGCCCTGTCCTGTCCAATGGCGGTCTACGTTTACAAACTCACACCTACCTCATGTGACCGGAACTTAGTGTTATCCAGCTTTCGAACGGCGTAGGTCATGTCTTCTTTGCGCACAAACTCCACAACGCCGGTGCCGTCCCGGAAAACGTCAGCATAACATACATCACCTGCTTCACGCATGTGATCCTTAAGGTCCTGCCAGCTGCCACTAGGAGGAAGTCCTGGACAGAAAAAAATCGTAACCATTACATAAGTAGATCCTTCTCTTAATGAACAGCACAAGAATCATTACGCCAACAAGTGACCATTTCAAGAAAGCAGTAGGTTTTGCATACCCAGGTTAATTTGTGGGTACTTTTGCCAATAGCTACGGGAGCTTTCCTGAAGTGCAAAAGCTTTTTATGATATCGCACCATTTAAAGATAGTAAATGCATGCATAATAGTTTCGGCAATTAAATTTATATTTATTTTACATCATATTTACTAAAATAATTAGATATTTGAACTTAATAAATTTGTAAAATAAACAGATTTATGCTTTCCTGATTCTGAAAATTGCAATTCCACAAATAAAAATGTGAGGAAAAACACAAACTAAACAACAAACATTTTTCGTTTTAACAGTCAAACACACAATAAAAATGAAACAAATATCTAATTTCTAATGTTTTATATGCAGATTAAACTTAATGAAACTTTTGGCTTGTCTCCCGAGGCTACAGGAGGGCGCAATAGGCAAAATAATGCAGCACATTTAAAGGGGTCATATGATGCGATTTCAATTTTTCCTTTCTCTTTGGAGTGTTACAAGCTCTTGGTGCATAAAGAAGATCTGTAAAGTTGCAAAAACTAAAGTTTCAAATCCAAAGAGATATTCTTTATAAAAGTTCAGAGTCAGCCACACCTACCTAAAACGGCTCGTTCTAACACACCCCCACATACCTACGTCACGATCTCGGAAGATTTGCATAACGCCGCCCAAACGTTCACGCAAAGAAAGAAGGCGT